CCGACGTCTGTCTCTGTCTTCAAATCAAATGTAACTGTGAGAGAACTGTAACATTCGAGGTTTTATTTTGTTTTTTTTCCTGCTCATCTCAGTGGACGTCACTGCAGAGACAGAATGATGTCATTTATGAGGAGATTTACCAAAAACAACCTTCACGTTTATCAAACGGTTCATGATTCTAACAAACAGTTGATGATTGGAAATATCTGGGTTTGGTCGTGTTTTTTTGTTTTTTTTTCTGCTACAATGTTCCAGTGAGGGAAGAGTTGAACTGAGGCAGAAAAAGATGAAATAGAAATAGAATGACCTGAGGTGGAGGTGAGACAGACTGATGAGGGGTGAGGTTTTTTTGTAGATCTTTTACTGAACCTTCTCAGGTGAACTGACCTTTAATGTAACGCATGTTCCTGAGGAGCTGAGCTCCACTGCATGCTCCACACTCTGAATGTGCACGAAATACATGAAAATGATTTGTTTGTCTCACGACATGAAGACAAAGATTTCTACTGGACGCTGTCGAACCTGCAACCCTGACCAGAGCAGGTGGACGTGTTCTGTGTCAGTTCTACACAAAGTTGTTTGTTTTTGTTCCTGCATAGAAACGAACACAGTTTAAGCAGAGAGTGTGGGAGGAGAACGGCTGCAGTGACCCCAACCTTTAAAGCTGTGGCACCAAAACGGTTTGAAATGATTCTTGTTCAAACTTCGTCTGTTTTGTTGTTGGTTTGTCAAAAACAGAAACCTGACGGTGGAAAGAAACCAAATGATAACGTTCTACATGAAGGACCTTTTCTAAAAGCAGGAGTTCTGGTCAGATATCTGTTCAAATTTTAAATTAATCTAATTGTCATTTCTGTTCTTTATGTTCCACCGTGCAACAAAGGAGAAACTGGAAAATGAAATTAACCGTCTTTATTCTTCATTTTCAATTCCGTCCTCGTACTCGTGTCCGTTTCTGTCGGTGCATTCTCTGATGTTTATGCACAACGACTGATACTGATGATGTCACTTCCTCCTGAAAGTCTTTAAAGTCTTAACATCAGAAAATATTTTACTGACAAACAGTCGCCGTCCGCCTCTGGGTGGGTCGTGGCCCTTTCTGGTCCGCTGGCCCCGAGTTTGAGACTCCAGAGGTTTTAGGAAGTGTGACATGCAGCTTCATTGGTTGGGGTTGACGGTCAGTTTGACGGTCAGTTTGACGGTCAGTTTGACGGTCAGTTTCTTCGTTGACCCCTTTAACATGTACAGACTCAGTTTGTTCTGAAACGTCAGACGTTTGAACAGTTTATTTTGATGAATGACTTTAGAGAATATATATATAGAAATATATTGACTTTATATACAGTAGTTCATCTATGCCTCATGTATTGCGTATTATTCTCCCTGTATATTCTCACACAGAACGCATTAGCACCTTTAAAACCTACACGAAAGTCTTTTGAAATAAACTCTTGTTATAAATAACTTTGTTTGTTTCACGTCAGTTTCTTTGTCGACGACGCCAGGTTTCCACAAAGATGTATTTTATTAAATTATCCAAACATTGTAAGTGAACAGTACCACCGTACCGTCGTGACTTTTCACAGACATGGAAACCAGATTTGGATAAATGCACTTTACAAAATTCAACAGAACAGAATCTCTTCAGGACAAAACTGTTCAACGACAACTACACGACTGGCAAAAAGGCAACAGAGTAAAAACAGGTGAAGTTTTTTTTTTTGTTTTGTTTTTTGTCAGACATTCAGGTGAATGAGAGAAAAGAATAAAAGAAAACTCACAAAAGTACGAGGGTACAACCCCAAAGACTAAAGGTCAAAGTCTAGTGCACACGCCGACAGTGAAAAGCCGCTCTGTGACAAATGTAACCGTTACGTTTGAACAACAACGTAAAGTAGAAAAATGGAGGAGACGCAGCCGAGGGAACGCTTCGACAAAAAGACAAAAAAACAAGAGGCAACGTTTGACAAAAGTCAAATGAACTGAACAGACACAGAAACATCTGGACTTGACGGACACACGGTAAAAAAACAACAACAACAACAAGAAGAAGAAGAAGACTTGCATAGGACTTTGTTTTTTTCCTGCTGCATAGACGAGGAACACAGCATTATCTGAAGGTCAGAGGTCAGAGGTCAGGAGAGAACGGAACTGAAGTCCAGACACAGAGTGTCTGGACAGAGGAGCAACGCTGAGGTGATGATGATGATGAAGAGCTGACATCGTGTCCTTCAGACTTCAAACCTTCTGAGGACATATTCATGGTTGTCAGATTTAATGACTTTCCTGTCATTAAAGACTTCTTTTTCTGTGAACGTCATTTTTAGCTGAACTCACATTCCAACATGAAGACGTCACTAATTGTGACGTTCGACTGAACCCCGGCTTCGAGGAGGAAACGACAAGATCTGTAAAGACTTTCCACCAGGTGAAACCCACCTGGTCTGTCCCCGTGTAACGTCTTCAACCATGTGTGTGATGCAGGACACGGTCTGACATCGGCTGAAACGTTTGGACGTAACGTTGACCCAACGATATCAGACCTGGAACCTGGTGACCGTTGTTACAGCCACTCACTGCAGCAGGTGGTCACATGACCTCCTGTGACCCACAGCACCAGTGGGCTGCACAGCATGTAGCCCTTAGAATGGGACATGGTTTTTGGACGGCGTCCAAACTCCATCTGTAGAATTGGGATTAAATGAAAAGAATAATCCAGCATAAGATTAGAGCGACATTGTTGATGAAGAGGAGGAGTTGATGAAGGAGTTTGGTGGCAGCGACTCAGTTAAGATGTCCGTACATTCAGCGGCGAGTCGGGCCTCGGCTTCAGTGCATATTGCTCAGAGTTTGGATGCAGCGGTGAATAAACTGGATCTGTCTGTGATGAAAGAACCGAAGAGCAGCAGCTGCAGCCGGGACGCTGCAAATACTTCAACATGGATTCAAACGGGGCTAAATGTAGGGTCGGGGCTCAGTTAAAGCACACAGGGCGATGACGACGGCCGCCCGGAAATAAAAGCAGCTGCAGACGTCACTCACATTCATCAAAGGCTTTGTAGTTTTTTGTGGCCACTTCTAAGGAATACTTCAGGAACCAAATGTGGACGTGTTTATGTTTTTGAAAAAAAAAAAGTGCTTTTAGGAAAGGTGATAATACGGTGGAGTGTTCCGTCCTCATTAAAAGTGAAGAACGTCTTTATTATCTGGGAGTCACACGGCGGAAAATCTCATCTTAAAATTAATGAGCTGCAAACCTTAACATTTAACACCTTTTTACTGCTTTAGTTTTCACTGGGAAATATTCACAGAACCCTGAAGGAATGAAACACCACTTTCCAGTTTCTCTGGGATGAGAAAAACAAAACAAAACCAACATTCTTTCCTCCAACAGAGTAATTAGGAACAGCACCACACGTTGGTTGTTGGCGCCGTCACAGTTTGAGGCAGTGAAGCTCTGCCGCTTCAATCTCCCTTTAGAAAAAGTGCCATTTTTAAAAACATTGGCACAGAAACTGAAGGCATCGAGGAGGAACACTGGGATTTGATATGTGATATTGTTTGGAGTCTGGAACAGTCGAGGAGCGGAGACTGCACACGTCCCTCGGCGCCTGTTTCATTAAAGAAAACTTTTCTTTTTTTTTTCCCTCTTTTCTTTTTAACACTGAAACACACACTTAAAGCATGACGTAACACAGATGCACAAAAAGCACATTGTTCTCCCTTCTTCTGACCAAGTCTTCTCCTGGTTGACCCTGAACGACCTGACAGCAGGTGGCGCTGCTGCTCTCTCCGCGGCGGCCGTTAGTACTCGTGTCTGTCGGTCTTCTTCGAAGATGAGACGCAGCTTTAACTGCTCGACAGTCGGTGGTAGAAGTAGACGTAGCCCAAGTCTTTTGGAGGTCTTTCTGACAGACACACCTTGTGGTCGTTGTAGATCACCCACCTGAGAGAGAGAGAGAGAGAGCGGAGACAAGTCACGTTTGTTTGTTTGTTTGTTTGTTTGTTGTGTTTTAAAGGGCTCTCCACAACTGATGTTGTTATTCATTTATTTTTTGCTGATAGTTAGTAGATAAGATTTCAATTTAATCACTGAGAGAAGAAAATAAAAAACATTCAGAGTAATTGAATTTTCAAAATGGAAATGATTACAGAACGAGTGAATCATGAAGTAAACAACAACAACAACAACAACAACAACCGCCCTCCTTTTTAATAAAAATATTGGACTGACCTGGTTTAAACTTTGAATGTGAACCAGGGGCAGTGACTGTGTGTTTTCTAACCTTCATCACAGTAATGGTTGATTGTGTGGAACTCACCTGCCTTCCTTCTTAATGTGACAGACATAATGTCCAGACATGGTGGACGCCCCCATGTGGCTGATGAAGCCAAAGAGCTCGTACCCTGGAAAATAAAGATGTAAAATCCTGAGTGATGATGAACCAACGTTGTAATGATTCAAAATTCAAAATGTAAAATAAAGTGTATTTGCATAAATCGGTTTTTGTTTCAGTCTGGAGCTGCGTCTCTGCGACAGACGGTTCTGGTACAAATGTGTCATGAAGAACTGTGGCAGGAAGTCCGAACTCTTTTTTTGCAGCGCCCCCTTCTGTAGAAAGCACTGTGAGGCAGTGATGTCATCACTCTGACTTGAACGAACTCTGTCCTTCGTGTTAATCTTTTTGTTCGTTTTGTCTCGTCTTCACTAACGTTTTAAAGTATTTTAAATTTATATCTTTACTTCACAAAACTACGTACTGCGTTTACGAAGTACAGGAAGTGTTACTCACGTCCCGGCCCGTCTTTGACCCGCGGACCTCCTGATTCTCTGTCTGGAGAAAGTGTGGAGTCGCTGTGTGAGTTGGCGTTGGAGAAGATGTTGTCGTTGGGCTCCGTGTCGGCCATGTCTGAGAGAGCGTCACCGTCTTCCTGCTCCGGGTGGGTGAAGATCCAGTCCAGGGCTCGTTCAAGGTTGTTGTTCTGTGAAAGCAGAGGTCACATTTTTACACACACTGACACACACACACTAGGACTCTGTTTCAGAGGCTGAACCTCAACTGAAATATTTACAGGAACACTGGGAAAACGACCAGAGAACAGGGTTCAATCATCGACCTCTCGTGTTCAGACGATAAAATCATCAAAGTCTGTCTGTTTCTCTGGTGTCATTAAAAATATATATATAATTATTTATATAAATATATCTCAAACAAATGTTAAGATTCTTTTTATAAACAACTGAGAAGCGAGAAGTGAGTTCTGAATAATGTGTAACAACAAAAAAATATAAATATATTTAATTGACTCTTTCCTTTGTTAAATCTACTCAACGGTGAAAACTGTATGATCACAACAAAAGGCACAAAGTTGTTTTATATTAAACTGCATTAAAAACCAGAAAAGTTCAACTGCAGTAACAGCAGCAGCAGCATCAGCAGCAGCAGCAGCAGTAACAGCAGCAGCAGCAGCAGCAGTAACAGCAGCAGCAG